CTGGGTCTACCTGTCTCTCTCTTTTGCATATGAGTATTTAAAAAGTTGGTTTTCAGTTCCCTTTGAGAGCACTTTGTCCATTGCAGGGGGGAGTGGAGGAGGGCTGGCCAGCCAGGGGTGAGTCCATGGAAGTCGTGCTGCGGTTGCCATAGTTACACAGGAGCTCCTCGTTAGCCAAGATGTTGTGTGAGCCAAAATGGATGAGGGATGAGGATGAGGTGAGGCCCTCTCGGAGGCAGGCAGATTGGTCTGGCAGTTCCCACTCTGGCTGTGATTGAGCGGCCTGTCTAGGTGGTTTGTCTTTCTAGTTGAAACCACACAGTCGGTTTTGCCCAGAGTGAAAATAGCACATGTAGCAGCCCGTGGAGGAGTCTGGCAAAGCCTCCTGATTCTTGTCATCAGTCTGTCAATGAAGTCCCCAATGCATCCCACTGCAAACTCGCCCAGAACACTTGCTTGGTGCTTCGCCATTGACAAGGTGCATCTTCATGCCTTCTACCTTCCCATTTCAACCAATTCATCTACTCTTTCTTTCTTCAGAGGGCAGCTCTGCTTTGTTTACCAAATATCTTGGCTTTGGTTCTAAAAGACAAGAAGAGCTAGAACAGAAGAGCATTCATAAGTAAAGTTAAAAAGCAGAAAGGGAATCTTAGCATGAACCATCTCTCAGTATTTATTAACAGACTTAAGCAAGTCCTGACTAGCACTACAAGACACAAACACCAGAGAGGACACGAGGGAAGGGGAACGACAAGACTCCAAAAAGACATAAGCCCAGTGAAACACTAGTAGCAGGGCTAACACTGCATCTCCATGTGCCCCTGCAGAAGTCACATTTCTTCAGTACACCTTAGTTCTCCTAGGTACACAGACTCAAAGCCTGAGGAGCCCCATGTCCCCCGCCCTTCATCTGATCTGCCCCAAGCCCCACCCTCTCACACCTTCAATCACCCAATGACCTTCCATTACTTGTCATTTTTCAGGTGGGTGCTACAACAGACTCTACTTGGTCGCCCTGTACAGACCTCCCTTTGGATTCATCCCCCGACAGTCTGGGAGACCAACTTGCTCCTAGTTGCCCAGAACTCTCCCAATTTTAGAACTGAAAATCTCATGTCCTGGGAAACCCCTTACTCCTAGGCAAACTGAGACAGCTGGTCACTTTATTGCAATCAGGTTACAATATTTTCCCTGAACACTGCTTTGATCACATCACTTTCCTGAGCAAAATGTTCCCTGCTTCCCATTTCTCATTAGAATAAACCCTCAAGCAGGCCCAAATTCTGCTTCAAAGGACATAGAAGAAGGCACATTGGACTAGGGTAAACAAGGACTCTAGGAATGAATTGAATAAGAACCATGGGGACTCTGTGCAAGTCACTCAATCTGGATGAACCCCAATTTCTTCATCTGTAAAATGAGGATGCTAATGAAGCCAGTGTGCACTGTTAATTTAGCCCTTGAACCACCATAGGCTCTTGTCCCACAAAGCCATAAAAAGGAATTAGCAGACTTTTAAGACAAGTAATCAGAGGAAAGCAAACTTTATTCAAGAAAGTAAAGAACAGTTTCTTTAAAAGAACAAAGCAGTGACACTGTACTGGGGAGCGTCAAAGAAGCTTTTGTGGGCCTGTGTCTAGGGATATTTAAACTTTTTCTCTCTATTATAAAATCTCATCACCCTGGGCACTTTCTGGTGGTGCAACAGGTGAGGGCACAGCACTGCAGGCTGGCCACCACCACTTCAGTGAGAGTTTGATCCCCCGCCCCAGAGGTGACCTACATGGCACAGCAGACCTCTCCTGTCCTGCCTGCTGCTCCCCTCAGCAGTGTACTTCGTCCATCTGCCTGTTCTGCTCCCCACTCTGTCTCTGGTGAATCCCCTTACCACCCCAGCACCTCTGGCCTGTACCCCTCTTCTGTATGTATAAATTGAAAAACCTTTTAAAAAAATAAGTAAAATCTCATCATCCCACTCTGGGATTGGCTCTCTCTCCTAGTGGCCACATTCCTCCGGGCACATGTGCCAATTTCCCCACTTCTTATCTTAGAGTTTCCCCTTTTACCTCCCCTATCCAAGCCTATCCAAGGCTTTATTCTCTCAAGTTTTACTGTCCTTGTTTATTTAGTCCTCCTAGACTCTCTGACCTCATCTCTGGGTATGTTTTGGTCAGCACCTCTTAGAATTTACTGTACTGATCTCAGAAGCCTCTGTAACTCTCCCGAAGCCCCTGCCTGCGCTGTCCTGAAGCTACCTACTTAACCTTAACTTTCCCTGAGGCTCACTAAGACTACATTTACTAATGAGCTCCAAAATTCTCTGCTTCTGCTCTTCCATATGCCCTCTGCTCCAACCAGACTCACCAGCTCACTCTAATCCAGATACACCCTACACAATCTCGCCTCTGTGCTTTGGATCCTTTCTTTCTCTCACCTGAATTTCTGTGTTCTTCCCTATCCACCTGAATGTGGAGCCTCCCTGGTAGCCTAGAGGTTAAATCTCAGTGCTATCACCTACCCACCTAAGTGCTTCAAGGAACATATTACTATTAAACTCACTTCCCAAGGGAAGCCGGGCCCAATCCATAAAGGTCCCTTGTGAAGGGAGATGCCTTCGGAGACCAAGGTCTCCATTTATTCCCCATCTCTGCACCCAAACCTTGCCAGCATGCACCTAGCTATTTTCACATTCAGGACTTCTCATTCCTGCTTCTGTATACAAAATCTTTTTCTATGTAGACCATTTTTAGTCCAGCTCAATTAAAAATCCCCCTGCACCTTTGTGATCTCTTTGTGCAATTGAAAATACATTCAATAATAACAAATGTTACTGCTACTAATTGAGTGATAATTGAGAACATAGGGAAAATTTCAACAAGGGCTCTAATGAGGCAAAGCAGAAAGGACAGATAAAACAATTTTTTTTCTTCATACAAGATTCTCAAGTGTTTTCATAACTGAATAATTTGCTTATTCCAAACTGAGACTCCTGTGCTTAAAATATGTAGTCATAATGCAGGCGCAGAGATAAAGAATAAATGAAGACCTTGAATCCTGACAGCATCTCTATTCAGATATCACAGACAGTCCACGTTGTCCCTCAACTCTAACTTTTAAGGAGGGCCTTAAAAGACTCAAATGGAGGCAGCTCCATCATTATCACTTCGCCCCTGCTCCCAAGTGGATCAGGTGTCTACTTCAACCACTTGTCTGCAGAGCTGTAAATGAAAAAATAATTTCAAAATAGGTCGACAGATTAAAAGTCATAGATTATCTGCATAAGTAGGACATTATCCCTAAGACAAATCTCCAGGAACTAGATCCTGGTCATAGACTTAGAATCTCTAGTTTCTGCTCGACAGATTTTTGTAAAGTGACTATCTGGATAATATTCTTAAGTATGAGTTGACAGTTGTCCTCCATTAGTCTTGGTAATTGACACTTATTAAAGATGTACTCAACCTACACCCCTGCCCTTCGGACCCCCCACAAAAGGCATACACACACTACCCTAATTAAATGGGGCTGGGATTTGAACAGTGTCGCCTACACGAATGACAAACAGGTTTGTGATCAAGTGGGGGAAGGAAATAAACCAAACGGTTTGCAGAGGGTGAGGTCAAACTGGGCTGAGCTGGGCTGGACCCACGGTGATTCAGGCTCTGCCCCAGAATGGGTGGCTCCTGGATGGCGTATTAGGACAATTAAAATCTTTATAAATAGGATGGGTTTTCGAGTCTCCAACATCCTCTCCAGCTTCTGAATCTTCTGCTCGTTCTTCCTCAATCAGGTAAGACATGCATTGGGGAGCAACAAGAGATTCCATAAGGCTCTAATGGTGGCAGTGATGTGTAGGCTGAGCTGTGTCCCTGTGGTTGACAATGTTGGGTGCCCTCCTGCTTCTTTTTTTGGCTCCATCCAAGAATATGCTGACCTAGGTGGCTTGCTTTTGGGCCTAAAAATTTCATGGCTTGGTTTCAGCGTGACCGAGGCATCCTAAAACTGTGAGCTAGAACTATTGGTGGAGTGTTTAGTCTCCCATATGGAACATTTACCTTTTGTGCAAGTTAGGCAAGAACCAAGAATTTATAGCATCAGGGTATAAGGCCCTGGGCCATCAGGCTGCATGAACTGACACAAGGTTTGTCCTATCCAATTCATTATTTGCTTCCCTTTTGGAAGCCCAAAAGCATGTGTTTTGCAGTTAAGATTTCAGTTTGGAGACTTGGAAACCCAATAGAATCACTGCAGAAGAAATGTCATTGAGATAGTCCTCAATGACTCAAAAGACTGCAGCCTCCCATAGGACCAATGATGAACCTAGCTGACTGTGCAGACTTCTTATTATCTGTGCAGTTCCTTTGACTTGCTCTTTTTCTCTATAATAGTTTTTGTATTCACTGATTCTGTTTTGTAAGCATAATCCCAAAATGATCATTCTGGCCAGAACCACTTGTAATTTAACCTACCAAAAAGTTTCCTTGGCCCAAGGCAGGAGACCACTGACATCCTTCCCCACTTGAACAAGGCTCATTGGAAGACTGAGGGCTGTTTCGTGAGGTCTATCTAGTGTCCTTCATTGGTGAAAATTATGCCTTGTACTTTACTTTCTCAAAGTGCCTCCAGGGTTTCCTAATCACCCTTCCTTTTCATTCTAATCATGGGAGTTTCAATGAAACAAGACCCACCTGGAGTAGAGGATGGGGCATGTAAAACAGCTACCATATATATTCTGACTTTCAGGAAGTAGCCACTTTTTCTAGCAGGAGACAGAGTTGCATTTTTCCACTATAGCACCTCATATTTAGGGGAACCTGATTGTGGTTCAATGTGAGTGAAGTATATGGTTAAGAAGGGGCTCTAACAAAGAGGGGTCACCTTCTAAGCTTCTTACCTTGACAGAGGGGCAACTTGCTCTATGAAAATGCTGTCTCCTGGTCTTCAGCCTAAAAACAAACAAAATCTCACTTCTTCTTTTAGTTTCACCTGTCTCTGTCAAAATGGCTCAACTCCTGAGAAGCATACTCACCTTGGTCAAAGTGTTCCAGAAATATGCTAAAGAGAATGGGGATTGTAACTCATTGAACAAGAAGGAGTTGAAGCATCTGCTCTTGACTGAGTTTGGAGACATCCTCCGGGTAAGATGCATATATTTTGGGTCCCATGGAGTGAGGTGTAAGTGACATTGACACTTAACCTAAGACTTGATGTTTTTGTTTTATTTGCACATGTTCTGCCTATAATAGGCAGTTCCTTCCTACTTCTTTCCCAGCACGCATAGACATATCCACACTGTGTGCACAGGCAGACAATATGCTCACTCTCTCTCTCTCTCTCTCTCTCTCTCACACACACACACACACACACAAACACACACCCCTTCCTATACTTGAGCTTGAGCAACTGGAGGTACAGCTTCAAACTAAAAACCATTTCTCAGAAGAAAATTTGAGATGATATATTGACTTCTATAGTTTAATGCTTTACATATCTTGTTCATACATTCATTCAATACAGAATTGCTGACCACCTGCTCTATCACTAGGCACTGGGGACTTAAACATGAATAAAATCATTTTTGTCCCTGCAGGATTTCACAAGATGATGGGAAATAAATATATATTGATTTATTTGTATGAAATATAAATACTATGTAAACAAAATATTAGAATATTGTATATCAGGGAATAGGATAGTTTCCCCCAAGTGACTCAAATTAATTATTTTATTTCCAGAGATGATTTAAATATCTACTTCCCTGTGGTTATGCTCCCATTGCTCAGTAAGGGATAAAATACTGAGAACAACTTATCAAAGACAAGAACCCAGATTGGCCCTCTTCAGATTAATAGTTTCTCAATCAAGGTGGGGGGAGCCCATGGACTGAATGAACTGGTGTGTGGACATTCGCATGCATATTAGTATCCATAGGCGAATATCTAATTTTTCTCTTTTTTATTTTCTTATAGTGTCCAAATGACCCAGAGACTGTGGAAACCATCCTGAAACTCTTGGATAGAGACAGAAATGAATGTGTTGACTTTCGTGAATATCTCCTGATGGTGTACCAACTGGCCCAAGCCTGCTATCATAAGCTGGATGATGGGTCATTGGGAGATAGCACTGCCCATCAAAAAGAAGAGCAGGAGGGAACAAGAGACTTTGAGTTTCCAGGAAATACATGCAGACAACCAAGACAGAGGCATGAAGAAGAAAGACAAGACTCCCACTGTGGTCATTCTGAGAGACGAAAGAGAGACTCCCATCGTGGTCAGTATGAAAGACAAGATAGGGACTCACACTGCAGGCAGTCTAAGAGACCAGATAGGGACTCTCACTGTGGTCAGTCTGAGAGACAAGGAAGAGACTCCCATCATGGTCAGTCTGAGAGACCAGGTAGAGAATCCCACTGTGGTCAATCTGAGAGACGAGAGAGAGACTCCCATCGCAGTCAGTATGAAAAACAAGATAGGGACTCCCACTGTGGTCAGTCTGAGAGACAAGGAAGAGACTCCCATCGTGGTCAGTCTGAGAGACAAGATAGGGACTCACACTGTGGTGATTGTAGGATACAAGAAAGCTTTGGTCAAAAATTATATCATAAATCTAGTAGTGACCAGTCTAGAAGGCCAGAATACATCCTTGCCTTAAATCAATATGAAGAACAAGTTCAAACTTCTGGTTATGATCAATCTGAAATGCTTAGACTACAATCAAGTTATGATCAGTCTAGAAAACTAGGGGAGGATTCTTACTCTACTGATTCAAATCAACAGGAAACAGGCTTTTATAGACCATCTAGGAGGCTGGGTCAGGAATCAGGTCATGGCAACAGAGATAGCCAAGAAAGTGATTCTCAATATGTCCAGATAGTCAAACAAGGCCAGAGTTCCCATTATGGTCAGACAGAAAGACAAGGTCTAGGATCTCAGTACGGTCAGACAAATAGACAAGGTCAGAATTATGGTCAGGCAGGCATACAAGGCCTAGGATCTCAGTATGGTCAGACAAAT